ACCCTAGGTTATACACAAGTGTCCTACCCTTGGTTATACACAAATGTCCTACCCCTAGGTTATACACAAGCGTCCTACCCTAGGTTATACACAAGTGTCCTCCACTAGGTTATACACAAATGTCCTACCCCTAGGTCATACACAAGTGTCCTGCCTGAGGTTATACACAAGTGTGCTACCCTAGGTTATACACAAATGTCCTCCCCCTAGGTTATACACAAATGTCCTGCCCCTAGGTTATACAAAAGTGTCCTACCCGAGGTTATACAGAAGCGTCCTGCCCTAGGTTATTCACAAGTGTCCTGCCCTCTGTTATACACAAGTGTCTTCCCCTAGGTTATACACAATTTTCCTGCCCTAGGTTATACACAAAGGTCCTACCCCTAGGTTATTCACAAGTTTCCTACCCTAGGTTATACCCAAGTGTCCTGCCCTAGGGTATACACAAGTGTCCTGACCTAGGTTATACACAAGAGACCGGCACTAGGTTATACACAGGTGTCCTACCCGAGGTTATAGACAAGTGTCCTACCCTTGGTTATACACAGATGTCCTACCCCTAGGTCATACACAAGTGTCCTGCCTTAGGTTATACACAAGTGTCTTACCATATGTTATACACAAGTGTCTGCCCCTAGGTTATACAAAAGTGTCCTACCCTTGGTTATTCTCAAATGTCCTTCCCCTAGGTTATACACAAAGGTCCTACCCCTAGGTTATACACAAAGGTCCTACCCCTAGGTTATTCACAAGTTTCCTACCCTAGGTTATAGACAAGTGGCCTGCCCTAGGGTATACACAAGTGTCCTGACCTATGGGGTATGCCGTACCTAGCGGCTCTCGTTTTTGCGTTTAGTTTTATAACATACACCTACTAATGTTATACACAAGTGTCTTACCATATGTTATACACAAGTGTCTTCCCCTAGGTTATACACAAGAGACCGGCACTAGGTTATACACAAATGTCCTTCCCCTAGGTTATACACAAATGTCCTGCCCCTAGGTTATACAAAAGTGTCCTACCCTTGGTTATACACAAATGTCCTGCCCCTAGGTTATACAAAAGTGTCCTACCCGAGGGTATATACAAGTGTCCTGCCCTAGGGTATACACAAGTGTCCTGACCTAGGTTATACACAAGGGTCCTACCCTTGGTTATACACAAATGTCCTGCCCCTAGGTTATACCCAAGTGTCCTGCCCTAGGTTATCCCCAAGTGTCCTACCCTTGGTTATACACAAATGTACTACCCCTAGGTTATACACAATTGACCTACCCTAGGTTATACACAAATGTCCTCCCCCTAGGTTATACACAATTTTCCTGCCCTAGGTTATACAGAAGTGTCCTGACCTATAGGGCATGCCGTACCTAGCGGCTCTCGTATTTGCGTTTAGTTTTATAACATACACCTACTAATGTTATACACAAGTGTCCGGAACTAGGTTATACACAAGTATCCTGCCCTAGGTTATACCCAAGTGTCCTGCCCTAGGGTATACACAAGTGTCCTGTCCTAGGTTATACACAAGAGACCGGCACTAGGTTATACACAGGTGTCCTACCCGAGGTTATAGACAAGTGTCCTACCCTTAGGTTATACACAAGCGTCCTACCCTAGGTTATAGACAAGTGGCCTGCCCTAGGGTATACACAAGTGTCCTGCACTAGGTTATACACAGGTGTCCTACCCGAGGTTATACACAAGCGTCCTGCCCTAGGTTATTCACAAGTGTCCTGCCCTAGGTTATACACAAGTGTCCTGCCCTAGGTTATACACAAGTGTCCTGACCTATAGGGTATGCCGTACCTAGCGGCTCTCGTATTTGCGTTTAGTTTTATAACATACACCTACTAATGTTTACATGTATACACATGGTTATATTTTACGAATTCCAGCTTCTTCATGCACTACGAGAAGTATGACGTAATAGCCCGACACGCTCCTGGTCCATGTGTGCCGCTAGACGGTGCAGGTAAGTCACGTAGTACAGACAATATTAATAGAATTTTGAATGATGTAAAACAAACTTTACTATAAATTGAAACACAAGGGAGCTAACCGAGTGTTATCGGAGATTCACCTATAATGGATACTAAAGATAATAAGTTTTATCGATTGACCTCGTAAGTTAAACTCAATTTTGCTGATGGAACGGAGTCATTGCTTTTTGACTTCAGATGGACACTGTATAACTTATCCTGAGCTTCTGCCAAAGATTTGTAAATTAGAACAGTAATTGCCACCACACTCGTGGCCATAGTGAACGGTTACATTAATTTACTTTTACGGGAGACATCATGACGGATGCTATATTAGGAAACGCCCATCCTCCTTTAGCGCTTCTTTCTTGAGTTCTCCTCTGTCGCTGTCTACTTTGAGCCGTATCTACCTTGGGTAGTATCTACTTTGGGCAGTCTCTACTTTGGGTAGTATCTATTTTCGGTAATATCTACTTTGGATCGATAGTATCTACTTTGGGCAGTGTCTACTTTGGGTAGTATCTATTTTGGGTAGTATCTACTTTGTGTACTATCTACTTTGAGCCGTATCTACTTTGGGTAGTATCTACTTTGGGTAGTATCTAATTTGGGTGGTATCTACTTTGGGTAGTATCTAATTTGGGTGGTATCTACTTTGGGTAGTATCTATTTTGGGTAGTGTCTACTTTGTGTAATATCTACTTTGGGTAGTATCTACTTTGTGTAATATCTACTTTGTGTAGTATCTACTTTGTGTAGTATCTACTTTGGGTACTATCTACTTTGTGTAGTATCTACTTTGTGTAGTATCTACTTGATGTAGTATCTACTTTGTGTAGTATCTACTTTGGGTACTATCTACTTTGTGTAGTATCTATTTTGGGTATTATCTACTTTGTGTAGTATCTACTTGGTGTAGTATCTACTTTGTGTACTATCTACTTTGGGTAGTATCTACTTTGTGTACTATCTACTTTGAGCTGTATCTACTTTGGGTAGTATCTACTTTGTGTACTATCTACTTTGGGTAGTATCTACTTTGTGTACTATCTACTTTGAGCCGTATCTACTTTGGGTGGTACACATGTATCTACTTTGGGTGGTATCTACTTTGGGTAGTATCTACTTTGTGTAGTATCTACTTTGGGTAATATCTACTTTGTGTAGTATCTACTTTGTGTAATATCTACTTTGTGTAATATCTACTTTGTGTAGTATCTACAATGTGTAGTATCTACTTTGTGTAGTATCTACTTGGGGTATTATCTACTTTGTGTCGTATCCACTTTTGGCAGTATCTACTTTGGTTAATATGTACTTTGTGTAGTATATACGTTGTGTAGTATCTACCTTCTGTAGTATCTACTTTGTGTAGATATTACACAACGTAGATATTACACAAAATAGATATTACACAAAATAGATATTACACAAAGAAGATACTACACAAAGAAGATATGACACAAAGTAGATAATACCCAAAGTAGATATTACCCAAAGTATCTACTTTGTGTAGTATCTACTTTGTGTAATATCTACTTTGGGTAATATCTACTTTGTGTAGTATCTATTTTGGGTAGTGTCTACTTTGGGTAGTATCTACTTTGTGTAATATCTAATTTGTGTAATATCTACTTTGGGTATTATCTACTTTGTGTAGTATCCACTTTAGGCAGTATCTACTTTGTGTAGTATCTACTTTGTGTAGTATCCACTTTAGGCATTATCTACTTTGTGTAATATCTAATTTGTGTAATATCTACTTTGTGTAGTATCTACTTTGTGTAGTATCTATTTTGGGTAGTGTCTACTTTGGGTAGTATCTACTTTGTGTAATATCTAATTTGTGTAATATCTACTTTGGGTATGATCTACTTTGTGTAGTATCCACTTTAGGCAGTATCTACTTTGGGTAGTATCTACTTTGTGTAGTATCTATTTTGGGTAGTGTCTTCTTTGGATAGTATCTACTTTGTGTAATATCTACTTTGTGTAATATCTACTTTGTGTAATATCTACTTTGGGTATTATCTACTTTGTGTAGTATCCACTTTAGGCAGTATCTACTTTGTGTACTATCTATTTTGGGTAGTATCTACTTCGTGTAGTATCTACTTTGTTTAGTATCTACTTTGTGTAATATCTTTTTTGGATAGTATCTACTTTGGGTAGTATCTACTTTGGGTAGTGTTTACTTTGGGTAGTATCTTCTTTGTGTACTATCTACTTGAGGCAATATCTACTTTGTGTAGTATCTATTTTTGGTAGTGTCTACTTTGGGTAGTATCTACTTTAGGCAGTATCAGCCGTTGTCAGTATAATGTGACCGAGCAGAATGCGGTGCTTGGTGATTTCGGCATGGTATTTCAGTGAGATAGCAAAAAAAACGCATCAGATTCGCGCTATCACAAGGAGGCAAATACACCGATATATCTTGTATACGGCACACACACACATGTGCACTTACACAACACACAGGAAGCAAGTCCTTAAATAACCTTGACGGTAAACAAAAACAAAACTAACCAATCCATGTCAAGCTAACCTGTAAATTGAAATAAAAAAAAATAGCTTTTCAATTATTTTTTTGATTTTCAGTTAAATTATACTGATGGGTAGTATCTACTTTAGGCAGTATCAGCCGTTGTCAGTATAATGTGACCGAGCAGAATGCGGTGCTTGGTGATTTCGGCATGGTATTTCAGTGAGATAGCAAAAAAAACACATCAGATTCGCGCTATCACAAGGAGGCAAATACACCGATATATCTTGTATACGGCACACACACACATGTGCACTTACACAACACACAGGAAGCAAGTCCTTAAATAACCTTGACGGTAAACAAAAACAAAACTAACCAATCCATGTCAAGCTAACCTGTAAATTGAAATAAAAAAAAATAGCTTTTCAATTATTTTTTTGATTATCAGTTAAATTATAGAACACAAAATGGCTGAATTACTTTCCTTTGTAGATGATGGGTCTGAAGATCTAACCATTCTTTCTAGTGGGTTAACATTTATATCGTCTGTAAGTACATTTTACCATTATACCGAGCGGGCTAACATTTATATCATCTGTAAGAATGGTTTACCATTATACCGAGCGGGCTAACATCTTAATCGTCATTAAGTATAGTTTACCATTATACCGAGCAGGCTAACGTTTATACCGTCTTTAAGTATGGTTTACCATTATACCGAGCGGGCTAACATTTATATCGTCTGTAAGTACATTTTACCATTATACCGAGCGGGCTAACATTTATATCGTCTGTAAGAATGGTTTACCATTATACCGAGCGGGCTAACATCTTAATCGTCATTAAGTATGGTTTACCATTATACCGAGCAGGCTAACATTTATATCATCTGTAAGAATGGTTTACCATTATACCGAGCGGGCTAACATCTTAATCGTCATTAAGTATGGTTTACCATTATACCGAGCAGGCTAACGTTTATACCGTCTGTAAGTATGGTTTACCATTATAACGAGCGGGCTGACATTTATACCGTCTGTAAATATGGTTTACCATAATACCGAGCGGGCTAACATTTATACCGTCTGTAAGTATGGTTTACCATTATGACGAGCGGGCTAACATTTATATCGTCTGTAAATATGGTTTACCATAATACCGAGCGGGCTAACATTTATACCGTCTGTAAGTATGGTTTACCATTATAACGAGCGGGCTAACATTTATATCGTCTGTAAGTATGGTTTACCATTATAACGAGCGGGCTAACATTTATACCGTCTGTAAGTATGGTTTACCATTATACCGAGCGGGCTAACATTTATATCGTCTGTAAGTATGGTTTACCATTATAACGAGCGGGCTAACATTTATACCGTCTGTAAGTATGGTTTACCATTATACCGAGCGGGCTAACATTTATATCGTCTGTAAGTATGGTTTACCATTATAACGAGCGGGCTAACATTTATACCGTCTGTAAGTATGGTTTACCATTATACCGAGCGGGCTAACATTTATATCGTCTGTAAGTATGGTTTACCATTATAACGAGCGGGCTAACATTTATACCGTCTGTAAGTATGGTTTACCATTATACCGAGCGGGCTAACATTTATATCGTCTGTAAGTATGGTTTACCATTATAACGAGCGGGCTAACATTTATACCGTCTGTAAGTATGGTTTACCATTATACCGAGCGGGCTAACATTTATACCGTCTGTAAGTATGGTTTACCATTATAACGAGCGGGCTAACATTTATACCGTCTGTAAGTATGGTTTACCATTATACCGAGCGGGCTAACATTTATACCGTCTGTAAGTATGGTTTACCATTATAACGAGCGGGCTAACATTTATACCGTCTGTAAGTATGGTTTACCATTATACCGAGCGGGCTAACATTTATACCGTCTGTAAGTATGGTTTACCATTATAACGAGCGGGCTAACATTTATACCGTCTGTAAGTATGGTTTACCATTATACCGAGCGGGCTAACATTTATACCGTCTGTAAGTATGGTTTACCATTATAACGAGCGGGCTAACATTTATACCGTCTGTAAGTATGGTTTACCATTATACCGAGCGGGCTAACATTTATACCGTCTGTAAGTATGGTTTACCATTATAACGAGCGGGCTAACATTTATACCGTCTGTAAGTATGGTTTACCATTATAACGAGCGGGCTAACATTTATACCGTCTGTAAGTATGGTTTACCATTATAACGAGCGGGCTAACATTTATACCGTCTGTAAGTATGGTTTACCATTATAACGAGCGGGCTAACATTTATATCGTCTGTAAGTATGGTTTACCATTATAACGAGCGGGCTAACATTTATACCGTCTGTAAGTATGGTTTACCATTATACCGAGCGGGCTAACATTTATATCGTCTGTAAGTATGGTTTACCATTATAACGAGCGGGCTAACATTTATACCGTCTGTAAGTATGGTTTACCATTATACCGAGCGGGCTAACATTTATACCGTCTGTAAGTATGGTTTACCATTATAACGAGCGGGCTAACATTTATACCGTCTGTAAGTATGGTTTACCATTATACCGAGCGGGCTAACATTTATACCGTCTGTAAGTATGGTTTACCATTATAACGAGCGGGCTAACATTTATACCGTCTGTAAGTATGGTTTACCATTATACCGAGCGGGCTAACATTTATACCGTCTGTAAGTATGGTTTACCATTATAACGAGCGGGCTAACATTTATACCGTCTGTAAGTATGGTTTACCATTATACCGAGCGGGCTAACATTTATACCGTCTGTAAGTATGGTTTACCATTATAACGAGCGGGCTAACATTTATACCGTCTGTAAGTATGGTTTACCATTATACCGAGCGGGCTAACATTTATACCGTCTGTAAGTATGGTTTACCATTATAACGAGCGGGCTAACATTTATATCGTCTGTAAGTATCGTTTACCATTATAACGAGCGGGCTAACATTTATACCGTCTGTAAATATGGTTTACCATTATAACGAGCGGGCTGACATGTATATCGTCTGTACGTATGGTTTACCATTATAACGAGCGGGCTAACATTTATATCGTCTGTAATAATGGTTTACCATTATACCGAGCAGGCTAACATTTATACCGTCTGTAAGTATGGTTTACTATTATAACGAGCGGGCTAACATTTATACCGTCTGTACGTATGGTTTACCATTATCACGAGCGGGCTAACATTTATATCGTCTGTCATAATGGTTTACCATTATACCGAGCGGGCTAACATTTATATAGTCTGTAAGTATGGTTTACCATTATAACGAGCGGGCTAACATTTATACCGTCTGTAAGTATGGTTTACCATAATACCGAGCGGGCTAACATTTATATCGTCTGTAAGTAAGGTTTACCATTATAACGAGCGGGCTAACATTTATACCGTCTGTAAGTATGGTTTACCATTATCCCGAGCGGGCTAACATTTATATCGTCTGTAAGTATGGTTTACCATTATACCGAGCGGGCTAACATTTATATAGTCTGTAAGTATGGTTTACCATTATACCGAGCGGGCTAATATTTATTTCGTCTGTACAAACCGTGATTCAGTTTATGGTTACATGTGCTATTTGCTTAAAATTTATCAATTCGATCCATCTATTGCACACAATTTTTAATTGTGTTCTCCGACAGAGATCTAGTGACCTGATGCTATACTTTCGATACAGACCATGTGACATCATTGGTGGTTATAACCACACAATAGCAGGCGATTGTAAAATTGTGAATAATTATTTTGAATTTTAATTCACATTTTTTTCAACTGCACATAATCTGTTCTCGTTCAAGTTCTATTTAGTTATTTATTTTAAGCTCTTAGAATTTCGTTTCATTAAATAAATCATACGTGAAGGGTTTTCGTTGTAAACCCTCTATAAAAGACCAATAAGAAATAGTAGTAAAATGTCCATATTTGTATAACAGGGGATATATCCCAATAAACGAGGCCGAATCCTTCTGCTAGACATGAACGAGCCGTCCCCGACAGTTACAGAGGCGCAGATTACAGGGGACCACTTGGACTTGGCTACATTTTCCCCTCACGGTATCGACACCTGGACGAATTTGGACACGGGTAAATATATCAACACAACTAAGTTCTGACGATCTCTTACCCTTATATATAACTAAAAACCGACACGAAAGAAGTTTACGTCTTTTAACCGGGTAATGGGCTTTACTGATAACTTACACTTGTCTTGTCTATATGCAGTTTTCTTGAGATGACAGTTGACATCCATAAATCGTACTTAACAGGTCATTGTTTGTACATTTCCAAAGAAGGTAATCTCGTTAGCTGAAATTTGATGAGTAAGGTACATGTGTCATATATCTTATCTATGTAAACTCTCACAACAGCATAATTGGAGTTCTTTATTGGGACATATAAAATACTATAGATCAGTAACTGGCATTCCCTCCTCTTTTTCAGGCGAGATAACACTGATGGTGATTAACCACACCCCAGACCACGAGAGGGTCGAGGTGTTTCGCTACAGGAAGGAATCAAAGACATTGGTGCACTTTAAGTCCATTACTAGTCAGCTATGGGGCAAGTAAGAAACAACACTAAATCGCTAGTATATTGGTGCCAAGAAGTATTGGCCGTTTTTCTATTTGAATAATGTCTACATTTGGGCAAAGGTGTATACCCTGTCCCATTCCCCATGGCCAGAAAGTCGTGTGTACTCTCTCCTAGTTTCTGTGATCATGCATCGGTGTATACCTTATTCTTGTTCCTTTTGTTTGTTCATCTGGTTAATCTTTCTCTGTTTAATGTCCAGAACCTTTTGCATAAACAGTCTGAATTCCAATAGACCTGTCCTAGTCCTTTTCCTTGTCTTATTTAACTATCTGCCTATGACATGTGTTCCTTGTCAAGTCCCTAACTTTGTCATTTACGAATCTCGGTCTGAATGTTGAAGTCCTTTCAGACTTGTGTGTATCACTATTAGAATCTGTAAAGTGTACATATACCCTGTCAGGTATAATTTCTTGATCCCCTGATGAGTGTAAATGTCGGTGTATTTTTTCAGTATAAATGACCTGGTGATGACCGGTGAGAATTCGTTTTACGTCACTAAGATACTACACTCTTTCCGTCCCTGGCTGAGGTTGTTGGAACACAAACTCATGCTGGCCCTGGGGGAGGTCATGTTCTACGACGGAGTCAGTGTCCGCAGCGTCGCGGGGGGTCTACACCTACCTAATGGCATTAACATGTCACCGGACGGTAGGTAAGCAGTGAAGCACCAAGGCAGATCTGGAAAAGTCACCGGACGGTAGGTAATCAATGAAGCACCAAGGCAGATCTGGAAAAGTCACCGGACGGAAGATAATTAGTGAAGCACCAAGACAGTTCTGGACAAGTCACCGGACGGTAGGTAAGCAATGAAGCACCAAGACAGGTCTGGGCAATTCACCGAACGGAAGATAATTAGTGAAGCACCAAGACAGTTCTGGACAAGTCACTGGACGGTAGGTAAGCAATGAAGCACCAAGCAGGTATGGACAAGTCACCGGACGGTAGGTAAGCAGTAAAGCACAAAGCAATGTCCAGACAAGTCACCGGACGGTAGGTAAGCAATGAAGCACCAACACAGGTCTGGACAAGTCACCGGACGGTAGGTAAGCAGTGAAGCACCAAGGCAGATCTGGAAAAGTCACTGGACGGTAGGTAATCAATGAAGCACCAAGGCAGATCTGGAAAAGTCACTGGACGGTAGGTAAGCAGTAAATCACAAAGACAGGTCTGGACAAGTCACTGGGCGGTAGGCAAGCTGTGAAGCATCGAGACAGGTCTGGACAAGTCACCGGACGGTAGGTAAGCAGTAAATCACAAAGACAGGTCTGAACAAGTCACCGGACGGTGGGTAATCAATGAAGCACCAAGGCAGATCTGGGCAATTCACCGGACCGAAGATAATTAGTGAAGCACCAAGACAGTTCTGGACAAGTCACTGGACGGTAGGTAAGCAGTGAAGCACAAAGACAGGTCTGGAAAAGTCACTGGACGGTGGGTAATCAATGAAGCACCAAGGCAGATCTGGGCAATTCACCGGACGGAAGATAATTAGTGAAGCACCAAGACAGTTCTGGACAAGTCACTGGACGGTAGGTAAGCAGTGAAGCACAAAGACAGGTCTGGACAAGTCACCGGACTGTAGGTAAGCAGTGAAGCACCAAGACAGTTCTGGACAAGTCACTGGACGGTAGGTAAGCAGTGAAGCACCAAGGCAGATCTGGAAAAGTCACTGGACGGTAGGTAAGCAATGAAGCACCAAGACAAGTCTTGGCAATTCACCGGACGAAAGATAATTAGTGAAGCACCAAGACAGGTCTGGACAAGTCACTGGACGGTAGGTAAGCAGTGAAGCACAAAGACAGGTCTGGACAAGTAACCGGACGGTAGGTTAGCAGTGAAGCACCAAGACAGTTCTGGACAAGTCACCGGACGATAGGTAAGCAGTGAAGCACCAATACAGGTTTTTGGCAAGTCTTAATACATTGAAGATAAAAGAGATTTAGGTAACCATCGTCCATTGCTTCCCTTATCACACACACTGTCATTCTTTTTTAGCACCTGCTCATTTGGAATTTTTCTGACTTTATTTAGAACCTCATCTGACAACATGAAATCTAACAGGGAAACAATTATGAGGGTCACCAATAGCTAAATTGTCAGCATTATCGTATTTTGATTTCAAACTCGATAAAACTAGGGAAAATTATGAACAAAATATAGATTGATATGGAGACGTTTACAGTTTAAACAAGGAGAATAAGACCATATGTGTTCCGGAAGGGTAAGTGTCTACTGCCTGATTGATGTCACCCACTACGTATATGTTGGTCAAATCAAAATAATACCACGTCCTCAAAGCGAGAACAAAGGAAGTGACAACGGAAAAAGAAAAACATTAAAGGGCATGAGAATACCAAAATCCTCGACCTATTTATAACAAAAAGAAATAGCACATTTCCAGATGGCGTCATGATGGTGACCGTAAACCAGTCCATAAATTCATCGACCTGGATCTTTGACCTTTAACCCTGTATTGTACGTTTGTCTGTCAGCGTTCGATATCTATCACGGAAATGTTGATATTTGGAGCAAAAATACAATGATCTGTAGATATGCTGATTCAGTAATTAACATATGTATTGTTTATCCTTATCAACATATTTATCCGTTTTTGGTTTAATTAAATGATTTCAACAAAACTTAGTTATCGATACCATCATTTTAATCGACTTTTTTTGACGTACTAGGTTCCTTTATGTGTCTGAGGGAGGCAGATACCAGGTGAAATCCTGCGAAATTTTGGAAGACAATGAAATAAAATGTATCGAGGTAAGACATTTGGTCGATTGAAAGGTTTGGTATCCATTATAGTTTTAGTAATGCCTTGTTTGGTTCTCGTATGTTATGCACCTATACATGTATATATAATACCAGTAACGAAAGATGCCATAAAGATTGTTAGGAAGAGTACAGCTTACCTGAAGTTTCTAGCCAAAGCCGTAAATATTCAACGCTATAAAGAGTTTTATGGGCAACTTCCTTTTTTCGCTGTAACTGCATTTGTGAATATGTTTTTTTTTATTATTTTGACCTGCAGTACCACAGATGAGTCCTAAGTGGGTGAATAGGCCAAACATTGCAGACAAATGTTAGCTTTGTTTGGCTTTCTGCATCGTTGTTCTAACAGGTGCTTCTTACTCGGTATTGTTAGTGATTGCTTTAGAATACATGAGTATATTTGTGAGGCTGATGCAATGTCCTTATGTCCACCAAACATGTACAGGACATATTTCTGGACACCAGTTTGGATAACATAGAGGTTGACAAACTGACGGGCGATCTGTGGATCGGATGTCATCCTCGCTACCACCAGATCGTCAAACACGACGCCAAGTACGGGGGTACCATCACTCCTTCACAGGTTAGTTGGTAGAACACCACGTGCTACTAGGGTCAAACGTCAGTTGTCAATGTGATACGTAACGTCACATGTTTATGCATACAACGTCATGTGTTAAAGGAGTTAAACGTCACATGTAAATGCGGTATGTCGTCATTTATTTGTTAGTTTCCCGTCTTATTCAATATTTTTCGGTATGCATTAATTTAAACTGCCTTTTAGCTTTGATGTCATATAGATTTTATTAAGATGTCGTAATCAGTAATTAGAAAATGAAAACTTATTTAACAACATAAGTGAATATCGTATAAATGTTAATACACACGTCTATAATTACTAACTTATTTGCAAAACAAATGAGAGTACGTTAAGTGTGAGCAGAACCGCAAGAGAATTTACAAACGTTCAAGGAGAAAAACATCATGTGTTCCATAATGGCAGGCGTCTTTTGGTAATGACGAGATGAGTTATGACAGAGAGGGGTGTTCTCGTTTCCCCCACTTTTTATATAACAAAGGAAATTGTTGATTTAGGAAGACAATGGCAAACCAATTATAGTCTGTTTCATACTTACCCACAGGTAACTTACCTGTGTGAAAGTTACCTGTGTGACTTGTAGCTTTGTTTTTGGTAAAAATAAGGTTTTAATACTTTTTTGAGGTTCAAATATCTTTATATGTAATCGATATATTTTTGTACTTAAACATATGTAGAGTTTACAGTCAAATATTTACATTACACTTTTAAACAGATAATATAGAATATAACAGCACTACATAAGAGTTCACAATACATTACAATTTTAAAATACATTACCAATATTCACATATTAAGAATAGTAAAGTTTAGTAATAGCAATCTCAAGTTGACCCCCCTCAAATGTATATCATATCTCCAATGTAAATTTCAAGTCCAAAAGCCAAGAGGCAGATGTTGTTATCTATCCCAAATGTAAGAGATGTTAGCTTTATTTGATACTTATATATCATGTATTGGGAATTACGGGTTATTGTCCTGCACCGCAGATTGAAAATATACATTTATTATTTTTGAAAACCGTATTGGGTGTCAGGAAAACAGTAAATAATGCCATGGTGTATTTTGAACTTGGTCTTTACGCTTTGCATATACAGCGTAGGATTGCTATTGTAAAGTACTGGCTGCAAATATTAAAGACTAATAACTGTATTTTGAGGGCCTGTTACGATGAACTTTTAGAGCTTTATAACAGGAAACCAAATTGTAAAGCAAATTGGGTTTATCATCTGAGACGTGATTTGTGTACGTTGGGTTTTGGAGATGTGTGGTTGGCACAATGTGTACCAAATGAGAAATCTTTTTTATTATTATATATACAACGCATAAAGGATAGTTTTATTCAGGAAATGAGAAACATATTCGAGACATCTTCAAAATGTTTGTTGTATAAACACATTGTTGACCGTTTTGATCTACCATGGTATTTTACAAAACCGCCATTTAGAAAAAATATATGTATTCTTGCGAATATAGAATGCAAGCACCACATAACCTTAATATAGAGACAGGTAGATATAATACAGTGTCTCGAAACCAGAGATTGTGTACTTTATGTGATCTTGGAGATGTCGAGGATGAGTTTCATTTCATTCTTATGTGTCCTGTGTTTTTAGAATTAAGAGTATCGTATATCA